TTACCCACAAATTGTCTGGTCCTGCTTGGTCAGCCACTCAATCCATTTAGGCATTAAAAAAAAAAGTCCGCTTTTCCCATCACAGGAAGAAGACCAGCTTACACCTCTGAAACCTTGCTTTCGACATTTACCGGGTGATGGAAATAGGGGCAGCAACATTAGCAGCTCTTGTTTGTCTAGTACCCATGTGGCAGAACTAATCTTCCCAACAGCCCTGCAGAGTGGGGAGCATTAGCCTCATCTTATAAAGAACATAGCAGAATCTGAAGTTAAAGAATTCACCAAAGCACACAGCATATGTCTGAGCCAGGATTTGAAGCACCATCACCTGGCTCTTCCTTTTTAGCCTATCAGGGTCTTCACACTGTATCCTCCCTCAGCCTGTACTACAGATGATCTGCAGACTGCAAGGAGTGGTCATTAGCCCTCAAAACGTCTTTCCAGTGAAGACGGAGGAAAATGGTTTGAGCATTAGCAACATCAGTGAAATCTGTCTAGGACCTCTCAAAGTCTCTGCTACGCAGGAATGTACAAATGCTAGTATGTTAATGGATTAATTTCTTCAAAAGTAGTTACAGTCCTTCATGGTCCAATCTCCTAAGCCTCTTGGGCTAGAGTACAAGAACTCTGGTGCATGGAGCCATGATGGTTAAGGGGAAATGGGTCTTATCCCATCATCAGATTCATATTCCAAATAGGAAAACTTGAGGTGATGTTTACTTATTGAAGGTATGGATATGCTGGAGTTCCTGGATGCATGTGTAAATGGTCAATGTACTCAGCTGCTAACTAAAAACTTGGTAGTTTGAATGCACCCCGAGGTGACTCGGAGGAAAAGAAAAGCAAGGAGACCTATTTCTGAAACATCAGCTATTGAAAATCCTATGGAGCACAGTACGACTCTGATACCCATGGGACATCCTGGAGTTGAGGATGACTCCATTTTGGCAAGTCTTTTGGTTTGGGGAGTGTCTGATTAGGCCGAGACCTATCTTGGTGGCTCTCAATATAAGCAAATGATCCAAATTAGCTGGGGAAGGGAGCGCATAGGTGGTATGGCACTGTAGGATAAGCACTTGACCACAAGATTGGTTTGAAGACCAAGGTAGGTGGTTCGAGCTCACCAGTCACTCCTCAGAAGCAATATACAGGGTCGCTATGGGTTGGAATCGACACGATGGCACTCAACAACAACAACATCTGCGTAAAGCAATAAGTCCTTCAGCCTTCAACAGATGGTCTCTTACAGGGATACCAACATTGAGCCATGAAATTGTCTCCTCTTGCTACTTCTAGCATGATAGTCGACCAAGCACAGTCTGTCTCAAATGTGGCACACCATACTGAGCTGTCTGTCTGTCATAGGGATAAGCTGTGTTTTTCTCACTCAATTCTGAAAGTACAGCAACTGTATCACCACACTCTCAAAAGACAAACATCACTGGACTGTCGTACAGTAGGTCATGATAAATTGTTGTCAGTAAAGACTACCTTCAAGATCAATCTATGATGAAAATTATACCAATTTAAGTCCTTAAAGAAATTATTACATGGGAGTACTCCCCAAACGTTATCTGTTTTACCATAACAGAATTACAAAAAAACTTTATGCTATACCAAATTAAGCCATTTTCTTCATACTCCATTTTCCATCAAAGGCAATCTTTCCATCAAATGAACAATCTTGACTTATCTAAGGAGCCTTGTTGGCACTATCGGTTAAGCGTGGGGCTGCTAACTGCAAGATCGGCAGTTTGAATCTACCAGCTGCTCTGAGGGACAAAGAAGGGGTGGTCTGCTCCCATAAAGATGTACAGTGTAGCCTAAGCAGTATCTGTAACTAAGCCCACAATGTACTTTATTTTATACATGAATATACACACATGTCTATAGTTTCATACTTCTATATATGCACACACATATACATGCCTATATGCATGTATGCATACATACATATATATGTAATCACACGTATTTTTTGGTTGCTGTTGCAAAACTGTATGAGGAGCCTATAAAAAACAGGGCCAAAGAAAAATGGAATTACAAGGTAATGGAATTTTCCATGAAACTTTTGGATCTCCCTTTTATATCTAGATTTGTCTTTTAATAAATGTGAGAACACATTTTTAAAAAGTACAGTTTTGGAAACCTTAGGGAGCAACTCAACTGTGTCCTATAAGGGTGCTGCGACTCAGAATCAACTTAATGGCAGTAGGTTTGGGGTTTTTGTTTTTAGTATCTAAGGTAGTTGTTGCTGTTGTTAAGTGCCATCTAGTTGGTTTCAAGTCTTAGTGTCATTGCATAGAGTTTCCAAGGTATGGTTTGTGGGTTTGAGCCATTGACCTTTCGGATAGCTGCTCAGTGCTTATCCTACAGCGCCACCACAGGTCAGGTCAAATATGTAAACGGTCATACCAGCATCCACTCAGGCTAACATAACAGCGCCCCACGCGCCCCCCCCCCCAAAAAAAAATGTTTCGAAAACTGAAGTAGAAACAAAATCTGAAAATGACTGAGAGGAGCCAAGGACCGTGGAAATGATCAGCGACAGAACAGCTTCTGAATCTGTCTCCCTTTACCTCCTACAAGGCTTGCCTAAGCAGTGCTTTTGGCACGCTGGGGTAGGGGGTCAGGATGGCTAATTTAATGTGCCAACTTAGCTATGCTCTGGGGCCTGGTTGTTTTGGTCAAACACTGGTGTAGAGGTTGCTGTGAGGCTATTTAGCTGATGTGGCTGACATTTATAATCAGTTGATTTTAAATAAATGAGATTTCCCTCACTAATGTGGGTGGGCCTTATTCTTTTAGTGGAAGACCTTAAAACTGAAGGTTTCCCAAAGAAGATGGAATTGTGCCTAAAAACGGAAAAAGAGCAGCCCTGTGGATTTCAGACTCACCAGCCCCCACAATTGCGTGAGTCAATTCCGTAAAATTCACCTTTCTCTGTCTACTTGTCTCTTGGTTCTGCTTCTCTGGGAAAGCCTCGTAATGTAGGGGGCAAGGAAGGACTGGGTACAAAAGACAGAGCTAGGAGGTTTCCTTTTGAGCAAGTGTCTCCATTGACAGGTCGTGTTTCCAACAGGATCCTCCATTTTCATATCTTTTCTTGGCTAAAAGCAAAGTAATTTGCAAAGGAACATAGTCTGACCTATAAAGATAGCAAGGTTGCCACCCATTTGACAAAATGAAGCAGCATTTTTTACTTAAACCTTTAAATTAAACTAGAAAGTCAATGAAACTCTCTGGAAAGAGGTTTTAAGTACAGATGAAACATAAAGTGCAAAGCTGATCTTTATAAATAGTACAAACCGAGTGCACACATGTCCTCAGGCGAAGGAGCTTCACATTATTAAATGTATATTCGTGAGTAATTGTTAAAAATTTCGTTTGACACTATTCCCTAGTCCCGTTATTGCAGTAGATCAGTAATACAAGTACAGGTTAATTGTATCCCTAGGTAATTAACTAAGGAGGATGTTACTTCCTGGACTAGATTCTGTCTGCAAATACAGTTGATTTTCTTTTCTTCCATGTTTCTTTCTTTCTTTTCTCTCTCTCTTTAAATAGTGAGTATCCGTCATAAAATTTCCTCTGAAAAAAATAGCTTTTAAAGAAATATACATGCTAGTATGAGTAAGGGCTTTTCTGCATACTAAGATACATATTTTATTATTTTGTTCAATATCCTAAGTTATTTAACACCAGCAAATGAAAGATTTATTTTTCCCAGTCAGCGGAGTTCATTTGATTAGCGTTTGGATTTATTCAAATTTAGCAGGCATTGGAGTCTTGTTGTTTTATGGAAGACAACTTCTTTGGGTTCATGGCCACATCCTCCATGAAAGCATATTGGACAAGAAAGAGTCCATATATAAGCAAAGTCTAAGAACATGCTCATGAATTAAGAATACATAGGCCTGGAAAGAAATTATTTTGAATTATGGTACCATCTGAATGTTTTTTTTTTGGGGGGGGGCGATAGCAGATCGATCCAGTGGGGTTAAACATTTGCTTTTAAAAGTTACAATAATAAATAACATTGAACATGATCAATGTAATCAATATCACTAAGCTGCGTACCTGAAAGATGCTGCTTTGGCAGATGTTGTTTTATACATATATCTATATCTAGCTGTTGTTAAGTACTAAACAATAATAAAAAAGAATTAGGAAAGGAAACCACATTAATACTTGATTGACACACAGTCCAAACCCAACACCATTTAGTCAATTTGGACTCATGGACACATTATAAGCCAGATTATAACTGCTCCTTAGGGTTTCTGAGACTGCAGATTTTTACTGGAACAGACTGCCTCATCTTTCTCCCAACTAGCAACTTGTGAATTTGAACTGCCAACCTTATAATTACTAGCCTAACACTTAAGCCATGGTGCCACCAGGGTTCAATGTTTGTTCAATGAGTAAATAAACAAATGCATGAATGTGTCACTAAATAAATATATGACAAAATTAAACTTCCTTTTCAAAATGAGATCATGCTTAGAAGTACAGCCTAAAATAAGCAGATACTGTATTTAAGAATCATTCATTTTTAACCCTATCAAACACCCCACTACACAAGTCATTGGGATGAGTTGTCAAGTTTGGACAAGGATCACCCACACCCTTGACCTATGGGCATTTTATTTTTTTAATTTCATATTGTTTATGCCTATTTTAAGGAGCCTCTTGGGTGGTGCAGTGGCTAAAATGCATCACTGCTAATCCACCGGCGGCTCCGTGGGAGAAAGATGAGGCTATCTGCTTCTGAAAAGAGTTATAGTCTAGGATACCTGATCTAGGATTACTATGAGTCTGAATCGACTCATATTGTCAATCCTATGAGGGCTATAAAGTATACACAGTAGCTGGTACATCATACATGTTCCTGTGTAGAGTTTTTCTAGACTTTTCTCTGTGAAACTGCACAGAAACTGGGATGGGCATCTGACGAGCATTTCTCTACCATGGCTACATCAAACTTTGAAAAAAATCACCTCTCCACAAGTTCCTGTCCATTCCAGCAAAGGGTGTCATTTTCGGCCACAGGGCTATGGCTGCAGATGTAGCCTGGCAAAGCAGTGTAGAGGCTGATGAAAGATTTCAACTTCTGAATCAGTTCCCTGAAAGAAACAAAACAAAACATCTGCATGTCAGAGGCAAATAAACCCAGCCTGAGAAAAGTTTAATTTCCTTATCAGCATGATAGAAAGACTCTGCCAAGCTGATTAGAGCAATAAATGACTTTGAGAGACATTCTTGGCTACAGGGCCACAATTTAGTTAGAGAAGAAGAAAAAAAAATCAATAGAATGATATTAGAAAAAAGTTGCTGCCATATAAGGTGCCATTCCTATCGGAAGGATGATTTAATCCCCACATCCATTTTTGAACACTTTTAGCTTCCTTTGTTGTTGTTACTCAGAATGCTGATGCCTCCATTCTCAAGGGTGCTGATTACAAGGCACACTGGAGCTTCACGCATCTTTTGGCTGCTGAATGTAATTGAATGCATTGATTGTCATTTACAATGCTATTACCCTAGAGATGGCCCCTTTCCATATAGGCTCTGGCTAATGGTTGCAGATCAGAAGCACAGGGTGCTCAGAGCAATAGAAGCTTCCATGCAATTCTCCTGACAATATAGTCAGAGAAACTTGCATCTCCAAGAGGAGGAATGGTTCTCTGCTTTTTGCATATTATGGTACCTGTGGGGGGGAACAGATGGGGGGGCTTAGTATATTTTATTATTTATTTGCTTTGCTGTTTATGACAATACAAGGAGTCCTGGTAGTGTAACGGTTAAGATTGGCAGTTCGGACCCACCCAGTGACTTCCGCAGGAGAAAATCTGGCGATCTCTTTCCATAAACATTTACTCGAGATGAGTCAGAATTAACTTGTCAGCACCTAACAACAATAACAACATCATGACAACTATGTGAGTGTGAGTGTGTGTGTGAGAGAGAGAGAGACAGAGAGAGAGAGAGAGACACAGAGAGAGAGAATCACATTATATATGCAAACATATAAACACACACAAAATGATACCCAGTAAATTTCTGGCTAATTTTCTGTGTCGTCAGATGTGTATGGACACACAGAATAAGACGCCAGGTAGACATGCTTATAAAGAAAGGCATAGACGTCCATGAAAATCAAATACACACCTGCTTTCAAAAGTCACAGGACAGTAACAGTTTTTTGCATATCCAAATCTACCTTAAGTCTCTCTTGAGGAAAGGGCATTTGCAGGCAATGGAGTCGTTATTCAGTACTCTTTAGCGTTAACAACAGACTAGACTTATGGCCAGAGCCTTCAGGAAAAGTCCCAAATAGAAGTCCTGAGCCCAGAACTGGCCAAAAGAGGAAGGCTGGAAGAAATCTTTTTTTTTTTTTTTTTTTGCATTGAATGCTATTTTCAATTTCATTACCATTAAATGACTCGTTTCAACTAACACATTTTTTTTTTTTTTGAAAAAGAGAGTTTACAAAACTCTTTCCCTTTTTTTTGAAAGCTTACAACAGCCAACACATCTTCCCAAAGGCTTGTTGCCGTTGAGTCGATGACGGCTCGTAGTGACCCTATATAGGGTTTCCAAGGAGCAGCTGGTGAATTTGAACTGCCAACCTTGTGGTTCAAACCAACCTTGTGGTTGAGTGCTTATCCTACAGCACCATATCAGAACTTGGGTCAAAGCAAAACCAAATCAGGGTGATGGACAAAAGAGCTCAAGAAAGTCACGGTGACCCAGCATAGGAATTTTTTGAGGGGCAGGGGAGGCGGGAGGTGTCAGGTTATAATCTTTGCGGACTCGGATCAGGCCTTTCTTCTGAATCATGGATGGGTAAATTCAAACTGCTAACTTTTAAATGGGTTATTGTTGTTAAGTGCCGTCGAGTCAATTCTGACTTGATGTGACTCTGTACAGGGTTTCTGAGGAGCAGTTGGTGGCTTTGAACCCCTGACTTTGTGGTTCACAGTCCAGTGCTTATACTACAGCGCCACACCAGAACTCATCCTATACAAACTGTTTGTGGCAGCCAGGGATCTTCACGACAGGCTGCCAGGGCATATATAATGAAGTTGCTTCCTATTGTGCTCCTGGTGGTGGAATACAGTCAATTTCCAAAGGGAAGAGACTCAATACAGAGCTCGGAAAATCAAGTCAACATTAGAGTTTCTCACAGAGGAAAAATGTGGGTTCAATTAAGGGCTAACAGGAGGGATGCTCTGTTTTACAAGGTAATAATCTAGTCTCCAAGAGTGAAAACTGAAAGACTGAAGGCTGAGGCTGGGTAGTTTCCCCCCATCTTTAATGAAATAGTTTCCCTCAGGCTCCCTCCTACCTTCCAACCCTCTTTCACTAAGACAGAACATGACAAGAAAAATGGAGACGACAACAAACAAAGCTTCCCGATGTGATTTTTTCAGAAATTACAAACAACACCCTGAATTTCTCCCAGACTCACAATCCCTGAAGTCCTCTTGATTTATCATAAAAGATCACTGACAAGCTACAGAGCATGCAGAGTTCAGAAGTGGCATCAAAGTTAAGTGAGTGGCCTCAAAGTCAAGGGAGTGTGGAGCTGGGAAACACATGAGACCTCTCATGTGTTGTTGTTGTTAAGTGCCGAAGAGTCGGTTCCGACCCATAGCGACCCTGTACAGGGTTTCCGAGGGTGTAAATCCTTACGGGAGTAGAAAGCCTCATCTTTCTCCCACGGAGCGGCTGGTAGTTTCGAACCGCTGACCTTAAGGTTCGCAGCCCGATTCGTAACCACTACGCTACCAGAGCTCCCTTTGGTAGGAGCCTGAATAGTCAGGATAAACGTCTCAAAAAAGTATGAAGAATGTGAATACGGTGAACACAATCTGGGTCATCAAACTCTAGCACTCTGGAAAATGTTCTTGAAACTCGAATAAGGTACATTTGGGGTAGTAAAAGGTCAGTCACTCTACTTCACAGGACTTGCAAGTCTAAACTCCTCTGAGTCATAGTTTTTGTGGAAAATGAAGGTCACAAGAGCCCCATGCCACAAGGTTGCTGTGATGATCAAATGAGACAATGCATGTCAAGTGTGGTTTGGCAGATACTTGACTGGATGCTCTTCCATAATTGAATGGAATCTCATTCTATAGGAATGCTGGTGGCACTGTAGGATAAGCAGTGAGCTGCTAACCACCAGGTTGATAATTCAAACTGACCAGCAGCTCCACGTGACAAAGATTTACAGCCACAGAAAACCTACAAAGGGTGGGTATGAGTCATAAACAACTCAACAACGAGTCAGAAACAATTTGCTGACACGTAACACAGCAACCACAATCTCATTCTATGCTTTAACTTGATGTGATCAGCCAGTCAGATGAAAGAGGTGGTCTTTGGGGGAGATGCGGCCTGACTCCAGTATAGAAATAGATGTCTTAGCAAAGGTCCCTCCTTTATCTCAACCTTGTACTTTTCTTGTCACCTGATCTCTGGTGCTTAGGACACAAGGCTGAAGAAGACTCTCACCTGCCACCTAATCTGCAAATTTTAAATTTGTCTTTCCTTACACCCCTGGTAAGAAAGCCCTGGTGTGGTGCTATTGGATAAGCACTGGAACGCATGGTTGGTTTGAACTGCACGGTCAGCAATTCTGGTGTGGTGCTGTAGGATCAGCACAGAACAGCGAACCACAAGGTCGGTAGTTCAAATCCACCAGCTGCTCCTTGGAAACCCTATAAAGTACCGCTATGACTTGGAACTGACTCGATGGCACTTAACAAAAGCAACAACAAACCCCTGTGAACCAGTAGAGTTCTCTAGCCTGCTGCCAAACTAGAGGAATGGAACTTGCCAGATCCTACAATTGCATGAACCACACCCCTTTCTGCATATGAGACTTCAGAACGTTTGTGGATAAAGAGAATTGGAAGATAATGGAATTTTTCTAGGACCTCCTTGAAATGCCTGCGTATATGTACTTCTCACTGGTTTTGCTACTCGAGAGAACCCAGACTAAGACATCAATATTATAATTATCATGAATCTGTAGACTACAGATGCAATAAATATGCAATATGTCATTGTTGTTAAGTGCCATCAAGTCAGTTCTGAATCATAGTGACCTTGTATAGGGTTTCCAAGGAACGACTGGTGAATTTGAACCACCAACCATGAAGTTAGCAAGCAGTCCAGTGCTTATCCTAAGAGCCACATTTGGGCTCCATATGCAATATACATACAATATATTCCAGCCAAATTTATGTATGCAGGGTAGGTACTTTTAAAAAAAGTTATACTTAAATTTCTGTGTGCCAGATTATTACAATCCTTATGCTTTTGAGGTCAGTATGAAGAGGCACGACTATGTTCTTTCCCGACTTTTTCAATCTGGTATTTGTTTATAAAGACAAGCTACTGGGCTGTATAATCCATGGGACTAATCTGGAATGGAGTCCTGGTATGGTGCTATAGGATAAATACTGGATCGCAAGGTTGGTTTGAACTGCAAGGTCGACAGTTCAAACCATCAGCTGCTCCTCAGAATCTCTATGCAGGATCACTATGAGTCAGAAACAACTTGATGGCACTTAACAACAACAATCTGACATAGCAGTTTAAATGGTCTTCGTCCCTAACTCTGTTAGAAAGGTACTAGTAGTCTTCGCAGGATTTTGTGTCTAAGAATGTAAGCATCAGATATAGAATGTGAAGATAAACAAAATCAAATTATGAAAAGATAAATTAGTCATCAAGGAAATGTAAATCAAACACAATGAGATACCACTTCACACTTACAAGGATGTCCATTATATTAATAAAAATTTTTTTTTTAAACCCCAAAAACCAGCCCCGAAAAGAAAAAGAAAATTAGTGCTAGAGAGGATGGGGAGAAATTGGGGAACTCGTGGTAGGAATGAGTTGGTAGGAATACAACATTGGTAGACATATAAAATGCTGCCACTGCTGTGGAAAACAGTTTGACAGTTTCTCCAAGAGTTAAACATAGAACAGTGATATGATCCAGCAATTCCACTCCTAGTTATATTCTCCAAAGAACTGAAAATATATATGTTCACACAAATATATGTAGATGAATTTTCATGGCAGCATTGTGCGTCATAGCTGAAACGTG